GGTGCACTGCCAGGGCCCCCGACAAGCCGGGGGTGCCGTGAGGGCCGGGCCGAGCCCCCCAGGAGCAGCTGCGGTCATAGGAAGGGGTTGGTGGTCGGGTGCCTGATGCCGAACGGCGCCGCCGGGGCCGGGGCCGTCTGGGGGGCACAAAGCGGGGGGTCAGCAGCAGAGAATGAGGGTTCAGGAACCGCCCTCTCTGCCCTGGTCCCCTCCTCACCACGAAGGGGTTGGTGGAAGCTTTGGCAACGGTGAACCCACCGGAAGGCAACTCTGGGGGGCAAAACGGGGAAGTGTCAGTGGGGGCTTGGGCAGTGGTTACCCCAATATTTAACACTCCCACTCCCCCCAGCCCTTACCGTCAGTCTGGAAGGGGCTGGGGAACCTCCCAGCAACAGGGGGGGAGGTGAATGTGGCACCTAAAAAAGGGAACACAGAATTGGGGCCCCCCAGATCCACCCTGGTCAGGAGAGGGGCAGTGTCGCAGGATCACTCACCGGGGCCGTTGCTCTGGAACGGGTTGGTGGAGGCTCTGGGGGCCACGGGGGCCGTGAATGGGTTGGTGTAGCCTGGTGGGGGGCATAGGTGTCATCCCTGGACCCCCTGTCGGTTTTAGGGGTCCAAAGGTGGGGTGAACCTTGACTTACCGCCATGGGGCAGCACTGGGGGGTCACGGAGGGTCCTGAAGAGGCTGCAGGGGGGAAGAGGGTCAGGTGCTGCACCTCTGGCAAGGTGGGGGGAGGAAGGTGGGGGGGGACAGTACCTGACAGAAGTTCCTCCCACTGTGGGCAGAACAGGGGTGGCCACGCCCTGTGCAGCCACACCTCCTGCAGGTGCAAGAGAGAAACCATGAGGGGCTCCCAAAAATTCCAGGCATCTCAGGTTGCCCCCATGTCCTTCCCCACTGGCCCTACAGTTACCATGGAGTGGTGTTGGGACCCCAAGACCCCTCCCCAGAACCCTTCAAGGAATGGGGAGACCCCAACAGTCCTTTGCCCATTAATCCCAGGTGTCCCAAAGGTATGAGGGGGCCACCAAACCCCTCCTTAGTCCCCCACAGGGCGAGAGGAGGACCCCAAGCCCTCCTCCAAGAGTACTGGTGGGTCCCTGGGTACCTGTGGTGGTGGGTGGGATGTGGAAGGGGGGCACAGCTCCCCCAAATGTCGGTGCTCCAGGGCTGGTTCCAAAGGCATTGAAACTGGGGAAGGCAGAGCGGGGTGGGGCTGGGCCTGGGGATGGGGCTGGGGTCACTCAGAGCCGGTCACCAAGCTCCCAAGAGACTCCTGTGCTCCACTACCACAGTGCTCCCAGCCCTCCTGGAGCCCCCCTGTGCCCCTTTGAGCCCCTGAGCTCACCAGGGAAAGCAGCAAAGGCAGGTCCTGGGGCAGGGCCGGCGAAGGGGTCCCCCCCAATGTCAGCCAGGAGGTCGGTGCTGGCCTTTCGGGATGGCTGAGGAGGATGGTGGGTGGCTGGGTGGGGCTGGGGCGACACCACAAGGTCAGGGGGTGGCATTCCCCCTGGGCATCCACAGAAGTTGTCTGGTCTCACCTGTGGCAGTGTCCCTGTGTCCGTATGGAGGAGCTGAGGGGGCCTGGGCTCCGCTGTGGTGCTTTGGGGGGGTTTCGCTTGCTCTGGTGCCACGTACCTGTCATGGGAGGGCAAAATATTGACTGAGGGATCCTCACGTTGTGCTACCCACTGCAAATGTGCCCCAGCTCCTCTCGTACCATCGTTTCTTCTCGTATTTCTCCTGCAGGAACTCCTTCACCTTCTGGGGGTCACGGGAGTCGGGAAGCAGCGAAGTCCGGGGGTTGAAGGTGCCGAGCCAGACCCGCCTGCAGGCCTGGGGGGGTCGTGGAGGGGACATGGGGATGTGGGAAGGGTGGGATGAAGAGGGCAAAGCCTCCCCAGCCCTTCCCTTACCTCATTCCCATGTGCCTGCAGGAACAGCACCTCGGCCTCAGTGAATGTTGTCATGGAGATGGACTTGACGCGGTGGGGGGGGTTTAGTCCCCGCCTGGGTAGGGATTTGGGGGGTCAGCATCACCCCTGTGCCCATAAACACCCAAACTGGAGCTTTTTCTCTCGAAAAAGGGCCTTCCAAGGACCCACGCATGGGAAGCCACGTACCGCTAAGCCCCGCCCCCAACATACACAGCCAATCAATGAGAATCTGACTGGTGGGGAACGCCCACCGCGCCCTAGCCCCGCCTACTCCGGGTTCATTCAGCCGCGC